CTTCACGCGCGGTTCTCCCCCGCCCTCCCTGCACGGCAGAGGGGAGCTGGGCTCCTGCACAGCCACCTCCAGCACCCCTGGCCTGGGGATGGGCTGCCTCCACCCAGAGCTCAGCAGGAGCAAGCTTCAGGGCTGGGTGGTGAATGAGAGCTGGTCTGTTGTCCCTCTGTTAGGGCAAGGGGGACAGGGATCCTTCAATTCCCTGGGCCACACCAAACACAGGGCATGGTCATGCCGTGGTTGGTCGTCAGCAGCCCCACAGCACATTCCAGCTCAGCTCTGCACTCCCACACCAACCTAGGAAGATCCAAAAAGGCTGGGCTGGAGCTAAGAACTCAGCCCTGTTGGTTCTGGCCTGCAAAGCAGCTCTGTCTTGTCACAGGAGCTGTCTGAGCTTACCCCAGTGGCCACCACAGACAGGCAGCATGGCCACCTGTGGCTCTCACAGCCCCAGAACCACCTGGCACAAGGGTGACACTGGGCTGTTCCTGCCTGCAGACTGCAAACAGGAGCAGCAGCCGGCCAGCACCTTGTGCTGCATCAGTGCCAAAACTCCATTCCCCAAGGGCACCACAGGAGCCGGTCTCTCTCTGGGTCACTCCGTGTGAGGCTGGGCCCCGTGCCTGGAGGTCACAAACCCTGCTGCTTCTTGAACCAAACCCTGCCCTGGTTTTGAACTAAACCTCGCCAAGATGAACCCGAACGTCACGGTCCACCACGGTCACTGTGCCAGGAGTACTTACACATAGCCTGGTTCTAAAGCAGCTTGGAAATGCTTCTGCCCGTGCAAATTTAATTCTGCTGCTTTTTGCTCCCACAAATCTAATCTCCAAAGCGCTCTAAGTGGATTTCAGCGGGTCTCTCAGGCTCCAGCATGGCTCGGTCTGGCCAACTGCACCCCACGGGGCAGGGGGGACCGTGTTTCCCCAGCACAAATGGGATTTAATGAACTCATCGATGCCCGGCCGGAGCGGATGTTCTGTGCAAAGGACCAGGTTCCTGTGTGAGACATCCCATCCCCTCCTGAGGCTGCTCCCCTGCATCTTCAGGACATCCCACACGGGGGGCTGGAATTCAGCGTGGCCCGGAGCAGCGGGAGCGCTGTGGGCTGAGCAGAGCTCCGGGAGCTCCGCAATGGGGCCGGGACAGAGCTCCGGGAGCCCCAGAGATGGGGCCGGGACAGAGGTCCGGGAGCCCCGCAATGGGGCCGGGGCTGCTGTGAAGACGGCGGACGGGACGAGACGGGACGGGACGGGCGGGGCTCCCCGCCGCAGTTTCGGGATCGGCCCGTGTGTGGGAAGCAGCATTTACCGGACTGAAATTAACTTTTTTTCCTCCTACGGCACCCAAAGCTGCCTGTCCGCTGTGCCGGGGGAGCTGGAGCAGCCCCGGAGCGGGCACGGCGGGACGCGGATGGGGCGATCTGCACCGGGGAGGCGGCGAGGCCGCCCGGGACGGAGCGCAGCACCCCCGGAGCGAGCACAGCACCGGGCATTCGGACGGGCGAGCCGAATGCCTGTGCCCAGCCCGCGCCGCCACCTCCCCGCTCCCCGCCAAGGCCGCGATGCCCCGGGAGAGACCGCCCCGGCCGAGCCCCGGGGCGGCACCACCGGGGCCCGCAGCCCGGGCCTGCCGCCCCGCCAGCTCCGGTGCCCGGCGCCGCTCACCTTCGCGGGCCTTGAGCAGGACGGTGTTGGCGACGATGTTCTCCAGCTCCATGGACCCGCGGGCGCCGCCGCCTCCCGCCGGCTCCGCTCCCCGCGCTCGGCCCGCGCCCGCCGCCCCCCGCCGCCGCCGCCGCGCCCCGCCCACGGCGCCCCGCCCGGCCAATGCCTGCCCTCGCTCCTCCCGCGCCGCGCTCCCATTGGTCCGCCCCTCCAGGAAGCCCCGCCCCCTCCGCAGCACCACCACCCTCCAGTACGTCCCTCGAGGTGCGGCGGGCGGGGCGGGGCTAGAGTAGTGACGTCATCCGGCGGCCACCGACGGAGGGCTGCCCCGACGAGGGGACGGGCGCTGATTGGAGGGTGAGATGTCACTCAGGGCGAGCCGCGAACGGATTGGGAGAGAGTCAACTACGCCCACACGGGAAGCTCCGCCTCCCACATCATCTGATTGGGCGTGGAGCTGCCACTCAGCTGCAAGACGAGTCGTGATAGGTTAGTCTATGGGGGGTGGGGCCGATTTGTTGAAAATAAATGAGCGTCGGGACTCAGTGGAAGCGAGGGGGTTTTCTGGACTCTGTGGGAGGTCCCGGTCCCGGTCCCGGTCCCGGTCCCGGTCCCGGTCCCGGTCCCGGTCCCGGTCCCGGTCCCGGTCCCGGTCCTTCGGGCGGGGCTGTCTCCGCGGTGTCTGTCCTGTTCGAACCAGTGACATGTTTAGGGGAGCCTCCCCACCTTCGCAGCCTCAATAAAGCCCGAGCAGCCTCGCGTGTTTCCCGGTGTCTCGGTCCATCCCGGTCACGGGATGTGCTCCAGTGCTGTGCCCCGTTTCTGCGGTCACCGCTGCCCTGGAGGTTTGGGTGTTCTCATCCCCCAGCGCAGCTGACCCATGTGCCGTTCTGGAGTTTGAACTCCTGCCAAATTCTTTACACCAATTATTCTCTCTAAAAGCCATTTTTAAAAACTTATACCAAAATTAGCAGCAGCGTTACCTTGTCTGAAGAAAAGCTGTGCAATGGGAACCTCTTCCCACCTGATTCCCCGCACACCTGGTTTCCCTGCAGAGCTGGCCTGTGCTCGAGCATCCCTCAATGCCTGCCCTGAGCACGAAACCTCTCCTTAGTCTTGTTACACCAAGTGGTGTCTGCCCTGCTTTGTGCTGCTCCTGGCTTTGGGGTGAGGACATCACCTTTGCCTTCTCATGGCTTCTGTCCCTTCTCCAGCCCACAGGAGATGTCTCCTTCCCAGCAGGCGTGAGGCTGGTGCTGGCCAGGCAGGGAGGAGATGATGGGCACGTCCCTCCCCTGGTGTCTGTCAGTGGCAGCCTGGGCCCACGGCAGGAGAGGTTTTGGGTTCATGTCCCCAGGCTGTAGTGAGGATGATAATAACACAAATTACTCCAAGCACTCGCTGTCCCTGCAGTCAGTACTGCTGTGCCCTTCAGCATCCACTGGAAATCAGATGTCACATCTTCAGGGTATGAATCTGCAGCGATTAGGAGGAGGATGCTTTGCCCTGCCACACCTTGGGGGTAATCTCTGTCACTCTGCCTAGAGGGATGAGCTCATGGTGTGAGAGCTCCTCTTTTAGAGCTGCTTTCCTTCCAAAGCATGTTTATTTTGAACTTAAAATGAGATGACTCTGTTTCCATCCATTGCCAGCATTAACCCTTGGGTTGCTATTTTCTGTTTCCTCCCACCTGGCATTCTGCAGCACCATTCCCATCACTCACAAGGCTCATGGACAACGGGAGACTGCTGGAGCACCACCAGTGTCCAGAAGATCCTGATGTCCCCAAGAGACCCAGCAGCAGCTCAGGTGTGGCACTGCCACTCTGCTTTTCAGCTCTGTGGAGGGGAGCTGTGTGCTCATGCCCAGGAGGATGGGCAGTGCCTGGTACCCTGTTGGCACCAGGGTGTGTGCCCAGGGCACTGTGGGTGCTGCCACAGGGCTGGTGCCCCTGGGAGAACTGACCCGGCCGTGTCCCCACTAGTTGCCCTCGTCTGGGTATTTTTAGAAGCAAAATGTTGTTTGGTTGTGAGAAGGAGGAGGGCGGCTGCGGGAGGGGAAGCTGGGTGGCTGTGATAGGGCAGCTCCTTCCGTGGGCAGTGCCCGAGCAGCTCCAGCCACCGGGGCCAGACCCCTCTGAGGGTCAGCACTGGAACCCATCCCATCCCATCCCATCCCATCCCATCCCATCCCAACCCAATGGACCCATCCCATCCCATCCCAATCCCACTGGGAATCTCTGCTGATTCCAAAGCTCACACCATGAGCCTCCCCACATGGGGCCAGTGATGGCCCAGGGATCCTCAGTGCTGAGAGTGCCCCCGTCCCATCCCATCCCATCCCATCCCATCCCATCCCATCCCCCCAGAGCCCAGCACCCACCCTGACAGGGGCTCAGGGAGCTGGCAGGGGCCAGTGTTCCTTGAGCTCCAGCTCCCAGGCGCCAGCAGCTGTTTTTAGCCCAGAGAAAGTCCAATGTTTTGAGATTTTCTATTTTGAGCAGCAAAGCTGAAGAAGTGGAGCAGCCCCTGACCTCCGGGTGTCTGTGCAGAGCGAGGCAGGCAGCCAGGCAGGGTGGGTGTGGGGCGCTTTCTGCCCCCCAAGGGGGATGTGGTTGTCCCTGGGTCTTCCCCCCACAGCTGCCTCTGTGGCCTCTTGCACGTCGGGCTGTGCTGGAGCCTGTTCCCATGCGATCCCATCTCTGACACTCTCCCAGGGGAGAACAGCCTTTCTGGCTCTGGGATGTCATTCCTGCTTTCCCTCCTGCAGCAAGATCCCACAACAGTCCCCGAGCAGGATGTGGAGCGTTCCATGCCAGACCTGCAGCCCTTGTACCCCACTGTGGGTACGTGTGTGCCCTCACAGAGCCCCCATGGCATAGCACAGCTGTCCCAGAGGGGACAGAGAGGCACAGGGCTCGGGCTGGGCTGCTGTGGTGACACAGCCAGCTCAGTCCAGTGCTGGTGACGCTGCCACGGAGAGGTTTTGTCTCCTCACAGGAGCCATGGAGTCCATCCCCCACACAAGGAGAGTGCTGGGGGGCACAGACATTCATCTGAGAGTGGGGAGGGCTCACTCAGCAAGTTGTCACCACACTGCTGTGTGGGGTGATGCGGGTGACAAAAGGTGCTGGCGGTCAGTGCTGCTTTCTGGGCTCCCTGCAGGCAGACGCCAGCCCCAGGCACAGGGTTTGGTCCCGTTTTATTCAATCCTGCATTTCCAGAAGCACCTCGAGCTGCACACTGGCACTGCCATCCAGGGCCTGTGGTGTGGCCGGGTGCTGTGAACGCTGAGCAGGGCTGGGGGCCACGTCCCCAGTGTCCCAGCGGGTCCTTAGGAGCGGTGCCGGTGCGGGACGGCCAGGAGCCGGCGGAAGGCAGCTCGGAAGTCCCGGTTGAAGAGGGTGTAGATGAGGGGGTTGACGCTGCTGTTGCAGTAGCCGATCCAGAAGAAGAAGTTGAAGAGGGGCTTGGAGACACGGCAGCCCTGCCCACAGAGAGCCCCCAGGCTGTAGGTGAAGAAGAAGGGGAACCAGCACAGCACGAAGGCGCCCATCACCACAGCCAGCACCACAGTGAAGCGCCGCTCCCTCGCCCTCACCAGCCGCCGGCGGCACAGCAGCACGCTCTGGTGCTGGCTCCGACGGCGCCATCTCAGCATCCCCACACCCGACACCTTTCTGTCACCGCTGGCAGGGCACGGGGAGCGGGCAGCGAGCAGGGCGGCCGTGCGCCCGGCGGTCAGGCGGTAGATGCGGCAGTACACGGCCACCATGACGAGGCAGGGCACGAAGAAGGAGGCGGCGCAGGAGGCCAGCACGTACCAGGTCTCCTGGCTCAGCTGGCACTCCCGCCCGGCCGGCCGCGGCCGCAGGAGCGGTGGCAGTGCCACCAGGGCCGCCGCCGCCCACACCGCCCCGATCATGGCCCTCACCCTCCGCGGGTTCCGGCGCAGGTTGAGCCGCGCCGCCCGTGTCACGGCCCAGTAGCGGTCGAGGCTGATGGCGCAGAGGTGCCCGATGGATGCCGTGCACAGCAGCACGTCCAGCGCCAGGTACAGGCTGCACCACAGCCCGCCAAAGTACCAGTAGCCCATCACCTCGTTGGCCAGCGAGAAGGGCAGCACGAGGACGGCCACCAGGATGTCTGCCGAGGCCAGGGACACGAGGAAGAGGTTCTGTGGGGCTTGCAGGGCCCGGCTGGTGGAGATGGCCACCACCACCAGAGCGTTGCCCAGCAGCGTGGCCAGCAGGACGGCCAGGGCTGCCAGCAAGATGAGCCCCGTGGCTGCGGGTGAGTGTGGGGCACTGCTGGTGCCGCTGCCGTTACCGGAGGTGTTGGGAAAGGCGCTGCCCGGCTCCATGCTGGCCCGGCCCCTCACGCAGATGAAGCCCCATGGGGCTTTCCCCCACCCTGCTCACCGGTCCCGGAGCGGCTGCGGGCGCAGTCCCAGCATCGCTGAGTCCCTGGGGGTTCTCCTGGCTGCCACCACTCCTGCACTGGCCTGGTCTGGTGGTGAGGTCGTCCTGGCCTGGTGGTTGCCCGGCTGGGCATGCAGGACAGGCGGGGAGCACCGAGAGGCTCCCACAGCAGCGCTGCTGGCTCTGCTGGTCCAAGTCCGGAGGCGGGCGGGCGGGAAGGAGGGAGGGAGGGAAGGGTGGACCGATATCGCTGGCAGGAACCCAAACATCTGTGGGCAGTGGGAGAAGCTGTTATTGCCATTTAAAGGGCTCCCTTCAGGGTCACCACGGCAGGAGAGTTCCAGCCACGCGTGCCAGGGTGCCTGGTGGTGCAAGGGCACTGCAACCCAACCATCCTGAATCATCATCCTGCTGATCCCAGCTCAGCAGCACCAAGCAGCCCAGGACCTTGCTTGGCTGTCCCGTGCTGTGCCTCGATCACTGATATGCTGCTGTGGCACACAGTGGGCGCTTTGGACCCTGCCAGCTCAGCCCTTTGGGGACCAGGTGAGGGGAAGAAGATGCTGCTTGTGACAGCTCAGTACAGGTGGCTACAGAGCTCAGGGTTTAGCTGTGGAATCATCACCATGTGCCCCACAGCACGAGCTGAGTGTTTGGTGTGTCCCCAGCACGAGCTGGGCTGAGCAGTGATGGTGTGAGGGGTACCTGTGGCAGCAGGCTTTGCAGAGGGAGGACCCAAAGAGACACACACAGGGGTGTCAGCGCTCCCCCTTTATTAGACACAGCTGAGCAGGGACAGGGGACACCAGCGGCCGCAGGAGCAGCAGCCCGGGTGAGCACTGCCAGCTAGAGCCGTGTGGCACCGTGCGGGAGCGGGCGAGGGGAGCCCACCCGCGTGCTGGGGCTGGGCATCTCTTCGGGGTAGGAGAGGGCAGGGTTGTCCAGCCCCAGCCTGGCCTTGTCGCGGGGAGGGCCCTCGGGCTCCTCCCAGCCCTCGGGGCTGCGGCAGCGGTCGGTGCAGCACAGCGTGGCCTGGGTGATGACACGGTCCAGCGGCTGCAGCGAGTGCATCCAGGCCGGGAGGAAGTCCCAGGTCTGCAGCCACTTGGGCAGGCGCCCGGGGCTGTGCGCCTGCAGCGCGTTCACCAGCCCCACGAAGAAGAGGAGGGCGAGGAAGGGCGCGCCCACCCCCACCAGCGCCCGCCAGCCCGCCATGGAGATGCCGAAGATGAGGGAGGGCAGCAGGAGGAAGCAGATGATGAGGTAGAGCACGGCAAACCAGCGGTACTTGGCCGTGCGCTCGCCCAGCGCCTTGGCCATGCGGATGGGCAGGCGGGTGAAGGGCAGTGGGTACCACAGCAGGATGCCCGAGATGTTGAAGAAGAAGTGGCACAGAGCAATCTGAAAGGATGGCATCCCCATCAGGCTGGGCATGTGGGCATCCTCAGCCCCTGCCCTGCCCCTACACCATCCAGCCCATCCACGGCCCCAGGCTGACTGTACCTGGAAGGAGCTGGCCAGCTTGTCCCCAGGGCTGGCCAGGGCAGCCAGGATGGCAGTGGTGGTGGTGCCAATGTTTGAGCCCAGGGTCAGTGGGTAGGCACGCTCAATGCTGATCACGCCCAGGCCTGTGGGAGAGGCACCCTGTCACTCCTGGCAGCGCCATCCCCATGCTCTCCCAGGTAGGCACAGCTCCTTTTGTCCCTCTGAGTGCTTTAGCACCCACAGGCCAGGGGATGGCACATGGCAGGGGATGAGGAGTGGCTGGGACTCACCGATCAGGGGTGTGATGGCCGAAGTGAAGACAGAGCTGCTCTGCACCACGAAGGTCATCCCAGCACCCACCACCATGGCGAAGTACCCAGTGAGCCAGCTGAGCGGGTGTGGCAGATCTGCCAGGGCATGGCCAGGGCATGGACACAAACAGGGACATGGCCACGGCCACATCAGGCCTGGGGGCCAGGGGCAGCCAGGGACGGGTCTGAGGATGGCAGGTGGAGATGGGCATGGGTGGCCCATGGGTGAAATGTGGTCCCCATCCTACTCACCAGTGTTGATGACCTTCTGGATGGCTTTGGCCACCTGCCCCTTGAGCAGGGAGTTGAGGAGTTTGACCAGGAGGATGAGGCAGGTGCAGAGCACGACAAGGGACCCGGCCAGCAGCACCAGCCCCACGGCCAGGTCGGGCAGTGGTGTGTCGGTGAAGAGGTGCTCACCTGCCCCACAGCACGGCTGGACAAGGGGCTGGGGCTGGCCCGGCCCCGCTCACAACCTGCCCCCGCAGACAGCCCCACACCTGGACCCCAGTGCAACATCTCCCAGCCCTCTCCAATACTTCTCCATCACACATACAACCCCCAGCCCCGCTTGCACCTCCCCAGCCCCATGCCCTGTGCCCCAGCCCTGCCCAAGCCCTCCACAGCCACTCACACTTCTTCCTGGTGACGTTGTGAAGGACCTCAATGCCCTTAGTGCTGCAGTGCCCAGGGGATGTGCAGTTTGGGGGGGGCCCAAGCCCCACAGAGGCCATCTGCAGGGAGAAGGTGGGCTACAGCTGGCTCCACAGTGTCCTCCACCAGCCCTTACCCATCCTCTGTGGGAGTGTTTGGTGGTCCCAGCAGGGCCACGGGCCCCTCACCTGTGGGGTTGCAGGGCCACACCAGATGCGGATGAGGCTCCGGTTGCGCAGGCTCTCGTCCCCTGTGGCGATGCCCGTGATCACAGACTTGTCCAGCTGCAACAACACACGTGTTGGAGAGGCCACCTGGGGGCTGACAGCACCCACAGGCTGGGGACATCTTCACCAGCATGGGGACACCACTGCTGGCCTGGGGACACTGGGATACAACCACCATCAAAGGGACACCAGTGCTGGGAACATCACCACCAGCCTGGGGCATACACAGCAGCTGAGGAGACCTGGATGATGAGCTTGGTGAAGGGCTCTGTGATGATCTTCAGCAGGTCGGGGGCATCTTTCCCGCTGCGGATGTTGAAGGTGGCCACAACCAGGCGGGTGACGTGGTGCAGGTACCCACTGACCACCTCCAGCGGCAGCAGCACCAGCACTGACAGCCAGTTGAAGCAGTCGTGCACCGTGGCACCAGCGAAGGCCCTGTGCAGCATGAAGGAGCCCGTGGGTGTGAGGTGGTCCTGAGGAGCAGCCCCCAGCCCCAGCAGTGTCCCCTGAGCCATGCAGCTCTCACCGTTCGAACTCGCTGCGGTCGCCAGCCTGCATGAGGGCCACGATGGTGTTGGTGACCGAGGTGCCGATGTTGGAGCCCATGATGATGGGGATGGCAGAGCGCACCTCCAGCACTGCGGACAGACAGACAGACCTGCTAGCCTTGCACGGCCCGGCTCAGGGTGAGCCCAGCCAGCCATCCTCTCCCTCGGCCTCAGGTCCCCAGCAGCCTCGTGGGCACACTCACACCCTGAGGAGACCATGCTGACGATGATGGAGGTGGAGGTGGAGGAGCTCTGCACCAGCACAGTCACCAGGATGCCCACCACCAGCCCAGCCACTGGATTGGAGAGGATGGCGTTGTCCTTGAAGATGTCCCCCGCCACCTTACCTGTAAGGGAATGTGAGTGCAGGCTGCTGGCTCTGCCAGTGCCACCAGGTTCCCGGGCATCCCTGCCACCCTACTACCTCCAGCCAGCTGGAAGGCAGAGCTGAGCACGTCCAGAGAGCACACGAAGAGGTACAGGAACCCAAACATCAGGGGCACCTTTAGAAGGGAGACACAGAAGGACTGGACCCTGGCCCAGCACCCGAACTCTGTGCAAGACAAGAGAGAGTGTTAAACTCCTGCTGTGGCATGGCTCCTACAGCCTTGTGCCACTCTCATGGCTCCTGGCAGCCCAGGGCTCATGTACCCAGCTATGCCACCTGTCCCAGGGTCCCCTCCATCTCCTCCCACCCTGCGGTGCCTTGTGCCAGCTGCCCCATTGTCCCTCAGCTCTTCCCACATCCTCCCAGGACACTGAGGGTCTCCATCAGCACTCCCCTCCCAGCCTGGCACCCCACAGTCCTGGCACCCCAGGCGCCTCTGTCAGATCTCTGGGGTGTTCCCCAGCCCAGGTGCTGTGAGACCCCCACGCCCCTGGGGTCTCACCTGGCCTCTGCAGCTCGTCCAAGCCCAGGCAGTGCCCCTGCCAGGGGAGCGCGTCCAGCTCGAAGCGCTCGCGGCCCTCGCGCAGGCGCCCGGGGGAGCCGGGGCAGGGGAAGCCGTGCTCAGGGCAGGGCACGGCGCTGACCGTGAAGGGACAGCCGTGGGCACCGGGCAGCCGGTGCAGGGCTGGGGAGAGACAGCAGCTGTGTTACAGCACAGTTATCTCCCTGCAGAGCAGGGCCCAGCACTGCCTGGGACAGCGCCTGGCCAGAAGCAGAGCTGAGGAAGAGGAGGAGGAGGAGGGCTGGGGGCACCTACCTTGGGGGCTGGGACAGTAGGCAAACTGTGGCCCGTGCACAACCCTTCCTCCCCGCACCGGGCAGCGCCCAGGCAGGACGGGGCTCTCGGTCCGGTAGGGCAGCATGGCTCCTGCTGAGGCTGAGCAGAGGTGGCCACGTGTCACCATAGCTGTGCTGCACCAGCTGCCCCGTCCCCCCAGATCCCTGCAGCGCTGGCACCGCTGAGGAGCACCATGCCATCATCTGTTGGGCCGCCAGCTGCTGCTGTGCCACCCCAAGGGCAGGCAGGGCAGGCAGGAAGGGGACTCCTCCTGCCCAGGGCCCGGCTCACCTGGGGCTGGCCGGGCACTCAGGGCAGTGCCACTTCCACATGCCACATCCACGCGTCCCTCCAGCGAAGTGGCCTGTGGGGCACCACGGCCCTTTATACACAGGCCAAGAGCAAAGTCTAAGGAGCCCCGTGTCGCCCCTCGGCTCCGCTGGCTGCTCACCTCCTCCCCAGAAATTCCTGCAGTTAATGGGTAACAC